CCAAGCAGAAAATGAAGTGCTGTTCTTCCAGCTTGTGTTGAGTTTCGCTGGAGCATTGCAACAAGCCTGAGACACAGATGTTGTCCAGGGAACAAGGTGGTGTGTCGAAGTTAGTATTATTTGCAATACTTTGAACGGTTATTGTTGTTTCCTGCAGCAATGTTCATGGTTAGTTGGTGAATGCAGGATATGCTCAAAATGGCAATGAATTTAAGAGAGCCTCGAGGTTCTTGGAGAAACTTAGCTTGCAAGTACGTTGTTGAAGTTGATACAGCAAAATTGAATGGGAAATGTTGATATCAAAACTTACAATGTAAAACACTATTTAAAAGAAATGTTACCAAAAATTGTGACTAATGGAAGTAAGGCCTGTGGATGTGAAATGTGAATCCTAAATACTGTATATTCTTATCTTCAGGTATTATAATTATTCTGCTATTACTAGATTGCAAAGTACCTCACATCTTTGAGATGTGAGTGTGAAAGATAGATTTTCCTTGACTTTGGTTTTGCAGTGATGTCAGCACCCTCCTGAGAAGTTCTGACTTACTCCCTTGAGCCCTCAAAGATCTTGCTGGTCAGCTTTTCTAGCCCGCGAGAAGCAGCAAGTAATCTGAAGAAGACTAGATCAAAGAATCCTGGAAGACCTGCATGTTGCTTCATTGAAGAATGGAAAGTGACCAAACTGCAAAATGACAAGCACAATTGTTAATGCACAATGCAAATAAATTTCAGCACATGAGCCCACACTCTGGACAAAGTCATGAAGGAAGGAGTGCCAGGCTCAGTCACTAGATTATCTGGTTTGAACTGAGGTAACAGTGGGAATGTCACAATTAACACTAATATCTTCTTTGGTTAGGGAAGGAAAAGAAGCTGTAAGTTTCTCAGTCTCGTTCATAATAGCCCAGGTCTCCAGATGGAAAGTACCATGTATCTATGTGGATATTAGATGAGAATAAGATTAGATTCATTGTGCAGACTGGAATGCTTACTTTGGAAAGTACAGAAAGTTGCCAACACCTGCAGAATTGAATTCTGGCATTGGTCAATTCTTTCAGAAATATAGAGTAAAAGAATTACAAAGAACTTCACAAGCAATCATGTAAGATACTGTTAACGGCCAATGAAAGAATGGACTTTTCCCCTTTGACAGTTTTACAGCAGGCTGTGCTGTAAAGTAAAGTCTTTTTATTAGACTCTGGGCCATTATTTGACCACTGGGCAACAGAACCATTTAAATGTTTTACTGTCTTGCTGATGTTTACAAGGCAAACCATTGCAAAATGGGCTTGGGTTAGAGATGGGGAAACAGAGAACACTACTGATTTAATATGGAAAAGTGATGAACCCTCATGGAAGTTTTACAAAAGAAATTTTTAATCATTGACGTATGATCGTAGAAAAGCAGTCGAAAGCTATTAATTCACGACTCCTTCAAGCAAATAATCATTTGGTGTTTGTTACATTCACATGATTTATAGATGTGGCAACTAAGGACACTGCAATCTTGAGGAAGGGATGATCATTGCTGAGGGAGTAGGACATAGTGTGCATGGATTTTGTGTGTTTGGTTAGTGATGTCTCAGAGGCAATCATCATCTGCCGGAGTTGCTTCATCACCTTTGGAATCAGGGAGGAGCTTTCCTGAGTTTTCTACTGTAGTTGATCACGTTTCCTTTGCCTTTGTCATTGTATCTCTTCAGGAGGTTGTGACGTTAGGGAAATAGGTGAGAACACTATTGAGTCACTCAGAAGCATCATTTGATCTCATGATGCTTTCTAGCCCAAATCTTCATTGGTTTACATTTTTATTTAGTAAAAATATTCAGATTGATCCTTTGTCTTTCCTTGGCAATAGGAATCCCATTGTCTTTTCCCGTCTTTTCCTGGCCTACACATTGGATTGGACTAGGAGAGAAGGGACGTTTGTTCTTGAGTATTTGCCTATTGCTTCTTTGACTCCGCTGCTGTTTGGTTAGTGACGGTGGCCTGAGGAGGACTTTTCATCCATATCACACCATGCAACCAGATCAGAGACCCAGCAAGGTGACCACTTCATTACATGGTTGCTTTGCCCAAAGAGAGGATCCTTGCCTCATTGTCTGCTGATGCTTCATCTGGAGCTGATTTCTTGGCAGCTTCTGTCAGAGGTGGTTTGCAATTGGCTTCACTGTCGCAGGCAGGGGGAGGAGATGGGTCCCAAGTTACCACAGCTGAAATGGGAATCACAAGGGGATGCTGTCAGTATTATTCTGAATGGCACACTTGTCAACTAGCCAACTAAGGTAACCAGGCCAGTCAATGACATTGCAAATTGTCCTATGATTTCCCAGTTAGCCTATTCGTTAAATCACCACGACCTGAACAAGGGAATGAATCATTCCTCAGGTCAAATAGGAATTTTCTTTTTCTGACTTGGTCCTGCCCTGAAGCCCCGAGTTAGAGTTCGATGGCTCTTTACTAGATCACAGGATAGTCCATTATTTGTGCATAAGCCATAATAGCAGAAAAACCCCTGGAAAGCAATCAGGAGTGACTGACGGTTAGGATCAGCTAGCGCAGAGCAATCTCTGAAATGTTTAGTTTGTAGTGCACAGAATAGAGGTTCTAAATACTTTCAGAAAAGTAACAATTGATTGTCTATGGCTATTTCTGAGCAGCTTACATGGGGAGTGACTGAAAGAACAAACACACATCACAATGTCAGAAATATGAAGGAAGTTGGCAACTGTGAAAAATGGTGACAACGGTGACTCTGAATTATTCAATAATGGCATCACCCTGGCATTTCACAATGTTTGCCCTGGACATGAGTTAACTGCTTATGTTGGCACATTTCCAGCTATGAATGCAATCTTGTTTTCATTTCAACTGAAAGGCTGCTTTCAAGGGACTAAGATTGAGTGATGATGTCACAGATTTATCAATCTTAAGTGATAATCAAGCTCATTTTTCATAGTGCAAATGGTTTGCAATTCAAAATGTTCTATTTCCTAGTCACACTACCCCTGTGCTGAGGAAATATTGTTCTTGGTCTTCTACCTTATCACCTCCCTCCCTGTTTTTCAAAACCTGCTCTCTGTTCTTGCCTTAATGCACTTAGACCAATTTTTCCCATTTTGCTTATTCCCCTCTTGCTGAGGAGTGCTGCACTGTTGGAAGTGCTGTGCTTTATAAAACAAAGGCACCATTTGCCCTCTTTTATGTGAGCACAAGACAGTGCCTTGACACTTTTTGAAGATGAACAAGGGGAATCCACCCCTGTTGTGGACAATATTTATCCTTTGACTCCCAATTAGCTGGCCTGTGGGTACTTGCAATGTTAACATTGATTGTCACATGTGTTGACAGTAGCTGCATTGCAAAGAAATGATGAATTGGTAATAAAACACTTTGGGACGTCCCGAGGATGTGGCAGGTTCTATATAAATCCACATTCTTTTCCTCCTGCACAAGGTTCACTACAGAAATGCGATTTGTTATTGTCTGTCCATGTTTTCTTTGTCACATTTATTTATTTTTTCATCTTATCTTTCTCTTCTCCCCATTTTCTCCCTTCATAGGCCACTCGCTGCCCGGCATCTTCCTTCATGAAGGAAGTCAAGGTTCTCCTGGCTATGAACATCTCCACAACCATCAGTGCCCCAACATGGCCAGCTGGCAGGAGGTGCTACTCAGTCAGGGTGAGCCGGGCAGTAGTGCTTTTATTTACTCAGGATGTTACGCCTCATTAACGAAAGTCCCCAATCTGAGGCAAACTTTGGACCGTCCTGAGAGTGGGACTCAGTAATTTCTATATTGTGAGAGACTCTCAACCCCATGCCCACTTGCTCCTCCCTACAATCAACTTGCACTGGAAGAAATGCCTCATCCATCATAACCCATGGCTATTAAAAAAAAATCAGTCCTGGGGTTTAAGGCTAATTTTGTCTCTTCGTCATTCAAGAGTACAAGGTTTAGAATTATTGCTTTACTAACATTCAGGACCCCGCTCACAAGGATCCTCCTGCACACACGTGCTCTCTGAAGTGACATTAATTTGTGTTGTGTTACTATCCTGTTTGATGTGAGATGGCAGATTACTTCTGGTTAAGTGGGGCATCTAACCTCTGAGAAATCCCCACAGACTCTGTTCACCTAATAGGAACGCTTTTCCATTAGAAACACCATGTCACTTAACTGATAAAAAAAACATGGGAATTCTGGCGTGGGTTGCTCAAGTTGCGTTTAACCAGCTGATACCAAGCAGCTTACCAAAACAGAGCACTTGGACACTTCCTGCTTCTTGTCTGTTAGGTCCATCCGTCTCTTCAAGGCATTAACCTTCACGATGATTTGGAGCTGAGCTGGGGGAAAGAAACTCCCAGACTGCAATGACAGGTCGATCCCTCCCGGTGCAGTTAATAGGCCAGGCTAGTTGGTCGATCATCGACAACCCTGTGGAGCCTTGCTGATCTGTTGGGTTGAGATTGCCTTCCAACTGACTGCCTGTATTACAGATTACCATCCTGTTCAGAATTAAGGCATGGGGTGGTCTAGCACTTCAACAGATATTGGGGCTTTGTCAAGGTTAGAATTTCATTTAGACTTTATTATATAGCGCAGCTTTGAAAAGGCTGGGAAGAATTATTTTCCAACCGAAGAAAACCTACACGGGGCTGAAATTCTTAACTGTATTTAGCTTTATCACCTTGGCTTTTCTTCCATTGTAGAGTTAAATGCCTCTTTTGACATGTAGCATGGTTAGATGTTCTTATCCACATCCAGGTTTGCACACTGTAATGTTGGTCTTTTCATCCTACTGTTTAGTGGGAACACAGGCAGTGTATTGACTGACGTACTTAGGTACTCCAGAGACCTTTCACCTTTGCCCCCACCACCCTGTCAGTGTTTACTTCACATGTTTTTTTTTGTTTGCTCTCTGTTGAGCTAAGAAGGCTAAAATACAATTCAGTATATTTCGGTGTATTTGATTTTGAATTTATTTTGTGCAACAGGCGTGCGATATGGCCAGCAAGGGACCAGTGAAGTCTCCTCTTCCACAGCAATCAGCCACCATGGTAACAGCGCCATGGTAACAAGCCAAACAGTTTTACAGCAAGTCTCGCCAGCAAACCTGGACCCAAGCCACAGTCTGCTGTCACCTGATGGCAAGATGGTGAGTACACCTGCACCATTGTAACTGCAGTGCTGATAAGATAAGAGTCCAAGAAGGCAAAACAAACAAGTCGCTTTTTAATGGCGGACAGACTCATGAAACAATGACAGCATTGTAGGAAAGCAAGGTCCGGATTCCAGAATAGGTCAGGACTGCAAGGCAGTGCTGTAACCCATAGCCTGCACAGCACTAAATGTGCAAGTTCTGTACTCAACCAATAAAGCTGACAAAGGAACCTTTTCAATTTATTGATCAAGCACATTGTCAAGTTGTGTTCTGGGGTGTGACACTATTCCTTATCGCTGGTGACAATCATATTGATAATAAACTAATTTACTTCATTTCTCACTTAGTTTCCCTGACATTCCCTAACTGCCGTTGCCTACGTACCAGTTACTGCACACTAAAGCACAATTTTGTTATATGCAAAGTGCTATGGGATAGAAACACTGAAGATAGGAGAAAGAGGATGCCATTCAGCCCTTCCAGCCTGCTCTGCCATTCATCACAATCATGGCTGATCATCTAACTCAGTAGTCTGATCCTGCTTTCTCCCCATAACCTTTGATCCCATACGCTCCAAGTGCTATATCTAGTCGCCTCTTGAATACATTCAATGTTTGACATCAACTACTTCCTGTGGTAATGCATTCCACAGGCTCACCACTCTTTGGGTGAAGAAATGTCTCCTCATCTCTGTCCTAAATGATCTACCCCGGATCCTCAGATGTCAAAGCAAAACAAAAGGGGCTTTATTTCCTTTTATCCTATTTCCTTTTCTTTCTACCTCTTTTTCTTCCAACTTTCCTTTCTCTCTATTGCACTCAAATCCATTTCTAAGTCTAGATTCATTGTACAACCTCATACTTTGCTTCCAAGCAATGGAACTCTTACCTACCTAAGCTTCCCTTTCTCCTGCAACCTATTGACCTTTCAATCCTTATTATACTGTGGCCTATTTCCCATTTGTTTTGCCTCATTGGCTTTCCCTTACATATTTCAATTTAATTTCTACCTTGGACCTTGCACCTCATTTTGTACACGATGAAGATGAAGGGTTCAGGACCAGTTGTTCATTGGACATCTTGCTGCTAGGAAGTACTAGAGAATGGTCCTCTGCTACGTTCACTCCAGGGAAGATGGTTGGGATCAGACGTTCACTATTTATGTCTCCTACACTCCAAAGGCAATCTTGTCAAGACTCCACTGTGTGGCATAACTGCGCCTCAAGTGTATTTTCCGATAACGATCCAGGAAACATATGCACACACATCACATTGCCATTTACGGTACAAACAGATTTTCAGCTTTGGAGTTGGGAAAGAGGAAGCAGTACTACCACTGGCTGCTGAACCCAGCACCCTCGAAGGGTAATGGCCACTGGTTGGAATTTTAACCAGAGTTCCCCTTAATTGGCATGGAGACAGGCTCCTTGTCCAATTCAAAGTGGCAGGCAGGTTCCCAAAACCGGAGCAGAGATACGGGTGGGATTTGACAAATCGGAAAATTTCCATCTTCAGCATCCACCTACAAATAAAAGGTGAACAACTGAGGGAGTCCTTCAACTTGAAGGATTTTAAAGAATTTAATGAACAAATGTGAAAACTGTTATTAGGGAGGAGTAGGGATTCCCTCTACAAGGCTGACTTTAGTGGCACGTGTAGACCTGTCTGAAGCCCTGACCACTAATCTACCCGCTCACAACCAGCCTCCCACAGACAGCTTAACTGCCTGTCATCATTACAGGAAAGTGACCACAGACCATAAGACCACAAGATTTAGCAGCAGATTTGGGCCATTCAGCCCATCAGATCTGCTCCGCCATTTATTATGACTCTTATGTTTCTCAACCCCACTCTCCTGCCTGCTGCCTGTAACCCTTGATCCCCTTACCTATTGGGACTGATCTGTCTTAAACCAGGCTCAGTGGACTTAAATGTGCACTATGCCAGGGGTAGGGGTGGGGCAGGTGCCCTGCAGTCAGAAAAGCCGATACAGAGAATGGCATCAGAAAGCTTTTCACGTAGCGTCTGCCTCTGCTGCAGGCCTGGAATATTCTGCATCTTGAGTGGGCACTTTTCCCAGCTCTGTCAGTGACCCACTGACTAAAGAACCAGGTGGATCTAAGCACTTTCCATCAAAGCTCCCTTGAATTAAAGGCGATACGTTGTATTTATGGACGTAGGGAATTTTTCACAGCATGAATGCCAGTCTTCTGGAAAAATCGACTGGCTATTTTGGGGTGCAGTAAATGAGGATCCAGCAAGCACTTTCGCTGGATTGAAAAAGGGATTTAAAAAAAAGGACAAACTTCGCCCCACCCAAAAAAACCCTTTCAATATAGAGATTGATAGTGACACTTGCAATATTAAACTCAAACTATTCACTTAATCTGTAACTTTAAAAAAGAAGTGGATAAATTTAGGGTAAAAAGTGAAATTTTAATAATGATAGGAAAAGGGGATGTTGGGAGTTCTGTCAAAGAGAGAGCACAGCTCCAAAGGGTCAGATGGTAAAGATATAAGATTCGGTGAGGAAAGGTAAACTTACACTCTGGGTTTCTCCTAGCAGCAAGAAGCCACTCCTTGTTGGTCTTGGAAGATTGTTCCACACCTAAAGCTAATTTTCTCTGTTAAGCTGCATGGTGCAATCAGTTTTCGAAACGGAATTTTTCCATTGATGGCCATTAACAGCAATTACATTGTAGCTGGCAACCACTTACCATTTAATGGTGATTTTCACTGTTTGCAATTGGTATGTACCTGCTCTCAGTACATGCAGGGCACCATGTTACACCTTACTGTGTGGAGGAGATTATGAGAATGAATTAGTGCTGGGAGTTGCTCACTGGAGGTCTCATTGAACCTTAATGACACTTTAGTTCTGAGGGAAATGTTTTGGCCCTTTGACTTCTAGCCTTGCCGGTTCTCTGTATGTAAATCTAGGCAGCCTCATTCTCCCACTCCATCTCCATTGCCCTGCAAGTTTATTTCTCCCATATACCTATCCAATGAAATCTTTGATCATGTCCTCTCCCTGCACTCTGTAGGCACTAGGTTCCTGTAATTACTACTCACTGCCTAAAGAGATCTGGCTCACATTCCTCTACTTCAGTCACTACATCTCCTCTATGTCTTGCTGAAATCCTTGATTCGTGTGTCCTAGTCCTTGTATCATCAGCTAATGGGAACAGCTTTTCTACATCTGAGGAGAAACAACAGAAATCACTGATGCCATTCTGATAAATCTACTCTGCACCATCACGTCCTTCCTAAAATGTGGTGGCCAGAACTGGATGCACTACAGCAGTTATTGTCTGACCAGAGTTTCATAAAAATTTTAGTAAAACCTTCTTGCTTTTGAACTCAACATCTCATGAAGACTGAGATCCCATGTGCTTTGCTAACTACACTCTCATGTTCAAAAATCAATGTGCATGAACCCTCAGGTCCCTCTGCCCCATTAGACGCTTTCCATCTGTGGCATTAAAGTCCCTGTTGCCCTTTTCTTACCTCATTCACCAAAATGTATCACCTCAAATGTCTCTATACAACATTTCCTCAGCTCCACTCTATCTATTCTGCTAACTTCTCTATGTCTTATCATAGTTGATTGGTATCATCCTCACAGTTGGTAACATTAGGAAACTTTGAAATTTTACAGTTTTCCAAGATCTGAATTGAAAGCAGTGATCCCAGTACTTAACCTTGAGGAACACCAGTGCCTACATCCTCCTGTCAGGAAATCATCTGTGTACCACGAGTTGCTGTTTTCTGTCCTTAACCACTTTTCCCATCCAAGCTGACATTGACCCTCCAAGTATATAAGCCTCAAGTTTTTGAACTATCCCTTTATGTGGTACTTCATCAGATGCTTTCTTAATACGTGTACACAACATCCACTGGTTTCCCTTCATCAATCTCTGTTACGTCATCAAAAAATTCACAACTTTCCTCTTTTATAGATACATGCATAAACACTTAGAATGTTTGTACATCCTGTGTTAGTTCTTTGAAACCTGCCATTTCCTTTCATGAGCATAAGGGCATGGGGAGACAATGGCCTAGTGGTATTATCACTGGACTGTTTATCCAGAGACCCAGCTAATGTTCTGGGGACCTGGGTTTGAATCTCACCACAACAGATGGTGGAATTTGAATTCAATAAAAATCTGGAATTGGGAGTCTAACGATGACCATGAATCTGTTGCTGATTGTCAGGGGAAAAACCCATCTGGTTTACTGATGCCCTTCAGGGAAGGAAACTGCCATCCTTACCTGGTTTGGTCTATATGTGATTCCAGATCTACAGCAATGTGGTTGACTCATAGCAGCCCTCTGGCCAATTAGGGATGGCCTAGCCAGTGACGCCATGAATGAATTAATTTTTTAAAAAAAATAAGAGTTGAAAAGTACTGGAAAAGACCATTCATCCCAGTGTTCCCTCTGAAAAGGCCCACTTGCTTCATAAGTGTAATTCCATTAATGCTTGCTGTATAGCATTGATGGGGATAATGATGCTGAGCTGCTTCAGAGTATGAATTCTTGCAGTGATGGTACCAAACCAACAGAGATTGGTCACTTTGAAAAGAAAGCCACAGTTGTGTCCACGGATAAAATCCTTCTCCTTGTGCCCATGAATAAAAAAGGAGCTGTATAATGCAAAATAGTTTATAGATGCAATGATCCATTTAACAAGCTCTTACACCCACTGGCTGAACACATGCTAAATGAATAACTTTTGGACTAGTTTCAGCTGGTATCTGATCTGATTTCTATTTTCTCTTCTTTGTTTAGATCACCGCTACGGGTGGACCTCTGCCTCCAGTCAGCACGTTGACAAATATCCACAGCTTGTCACAACCTCCACATCACAATCACCAACAAACACAGAATCTCATCATCAACCCCCTCTCTGGAGTTATGGCGATAGCACAAAGTACGCCCTCTTTCCATCTAACCTGCTGTATTGTATCGAGTGTGGCGTTTCGTCTGTTTTTACACTTTGCAATGAGAGTTCTGTTGTGTTCTGGGCCCTTGTGTTCATGTTTATTCATGGGAATTTGGTACAGGATAGTGGTTCTGCTGTCAAAATAGATAACACCAAGTAGTGTGGCACTGTCCAGTAAGGATGTCACGGTTGACTCACATCTCAATTCAGTTACCTGATCTTAGCAGCATTACAAATGAAAATAAGAGTTCTCAAGAGGGGAGGGAGGCTCCGCGGCTGCGTGTCTCTTTTCTTGTTTTGTTGTTGTTGTTTGCTGCATGTGGAAGCGCTGGTCAGACTGAAGTTGTTGCCCATCTTTAGTGGCCCAGAGATGGTGGTGGGTTATTGGCTTGAGCTGTGGTCCTGGTTGGGGATGGTGCTCACAGTATGGTTATTCCAACAATAATGAAGGAATGACAGTATATTTGTCCCAGTTGTGACAGGTTGTCATTTGAAGGGGAATCTAGAGAAGACAATATTTTCATCATTTTGTTGCCCTTCTCAGCAGTACAGGTCAAGGAATTGGGAGGCACTGACAAAGTAACCTTGCTGAATGGCTGCACTGCACATTGTTCATAGCACATGGTGCACCAATGGTGGGGATAATGAGATAGTGGCAGGAAATACAATATTTTAGCGTTAACTCTCCACCCTAGTGAATTTAACATTATTGTCAGAATCAGCATTTCTGCACAAGTGAGCAGAGCAATTCAAGGAGACAGCAGTAGAGGATTAACATGGGAAGTCCACATATTGGTCCAACTGTGATGCTTACTGCCCAGACTCTCCCTGGAGGGGAAGTGCTGGCAGCTTCCGGCACCCAGGAAATTATTTGCAATCCAGATATGGGGATTTGCTTGGCATGAAATGCATGGAGGTTCCCTGAACCGCACTCCCATTGAGCAAGATTCTGAAAATCTTTATCTACTTTAATATCAATGCATGGCTTTAAAATAGGGGAAAATCATCCAGAGTCGGAAACCTAACTTTATTAAAAGTGCATTATTATTTTTACCGGCTATATTTCTGAGTTAAGGATGATTTTGGCTGTATTTACTCTCAGCCTAAAGTGACCTTGCTTTGCATGAGTGCCAGGAAATTGTAGTATTAATCAGGAGTCAAGGCTTGGTTTGTCTCCCAAGGAAGGCAGAGACCGCCCCCACCCCACCACACCGCCTCTCTGTTATGATCATAATAGTTTCTGAATACTCATTAGAAAAAAGCAAAAACTGGCTCATTAATGGTCCTTTAGGGAAGAGAACTGGCAACTCCTACAAGACCAGGCCTACTAGAAACTGCATTCTACACTTGATGACTGACTCTTAACTCACTTTGAAGTGGCCTAGTATAATATTCAGAGAGTAATTAGGACTAACAATAAATGAGGCCATGTCAGTGTTGCTTAAATCTCCAAAACACCTATGAATTATGAAGTTGTAAAAATGGGGGTTATTAAAAGATCATTCAGTCTTTCCCACCTGTTCATCCAATGAAATCCGTATTGAAACATCCAATCATTAAGCAAAAGATTCCAGATTTTATTTTATCTAAATTTTTTTGAACTGTAAGGGGAGTAAAGGATTAAGTGAACGGGAAGTAAGATTTGGGACAAGGACCAGAACTGCCATTATTTTACTAAATGGCAGAACAGGCTCAAGAGGCCTACTAAGGCCTAGTCCTACTTTATTCCTTATATTTTCATGAAGGCTATTGCCAGTCGCTATTTGAACTGATTGATATTTGTCGCAGAATGATCTTTATGCTTATTTGAATTTGTTACCTGTCCAATTCATTCTGTCAGTGCTCATTTGCCTTTTTGAAATCTGTGCCTGTGGCGAATCTGATAAGTACCTGAATCAGAACACAATGTTCAGAACTACATTTGTCCCAGCTGCAAATATAGTGGTACCTCACTCAAGAACTTCCTCCCAACTTTGACATGAGTTTAAAAAAAAGGTTGAAGTCAGGATAGTCCCAGGGGACCAAAGGACTGCTGTCTCATTAGAGAGAGACACAACTGGTGGTGAGTTTAACCTGAAGCTCACCATGCCTCAGGGGAGGGGAAAGGTGGAGAAGGTGGGACCTTCATGTTAATGTTAAACAAAGCAGCTCGCTTGATTGGCACCACGTCCACAAGGATTCATTCCCTCCACCACTGATGATCAGTAGCAGCAGTGTGTACTACTACAAGACACATGGCAGAAATTCACCAAACATCCTTAGACAGCACCTTCCAAACCCACTTCTATCTAGAAAGACAAGGGCAGCAGATACATGGCAACATCACCACCAGCAACGTCCCCTCCAAGCCACTCACAATCCTGACTTGGAAATATATTGTCATTCCTTTACTGTCCATGGGCCAAAATCCTGGAGTTTCCTACCCAAGGGTATTGTGGGTCAACCCACAGCAGCTGAACAGCTGCAGTTCAAGAAGGCAGCTCACCAATACCTTCTTAAGGGCAACTAGGGATGGGCAATAAATGCTGACAAGCCAGCAACACCCACATCCCACACTTGAGTGAAGATAAAAGACTGTACAGGAACCATATGTGCACTCAGCATATATCTACCCCTCAGTCAGTACAGTACCACCCAGGGGTGAAGTCTTGTGGGAGCACTTTCTACCTGTTTGTAGCTGTTTTTGTTTGGAGTAAACGGACGATGGGAGTAGATACTTAAATCGGGCGAATGACAACTTGGATGAGTGACTCTTTGAAAGATTTTTGCACAGCAGTATTGACATTATTGCCCTGTCTTTGTCTTTTTTTTTCATTTTCCAGGTATAAGCACATCCCAGGGGCAGAGCGTTCCTGTTATAAACAGCGTGACAGCAGGTAGCTTGGCAGCTCTACAACCTGTGCAGTTTTCACAGCAACTTCACAGTCCGCATCAGCAGCCAATCATGCAGCAGTCTCAGAGTCACATGTCGCAGCAACCGTTCATGGCCACAGTGACCCAGCTGCAGAACTCTCACAGTAAGATGTTGTCATGGCTTGGAGTGGGAGGTTGGCTGTTCAGTGCGGAAAAAAAGGGCCTAGCAGCCTAATGAAACTACGATGATTAAGTGTTTTCAATCTGTGCCAACGTCTTTCTGCCTGGTTACCTGATTGAAGTCACACAGATACTGGAGCCCTGGAGCCATCTCTAAGTTCAGTGAAATAAGTGCATAGCTGAGGCTGTTCCTGCCTTGGCTAGATCATTTCTGCTTTCTGTTTCTAAAAGGAGTTTTCCCTCCACAACCCCCCTCCTCCACCACCCGCACCGCTACCGCCCCCCCCCCCCCCCCCCCCCCCCCACCCCCCCCCGCCCACACCAAATCTCCCTGGCCCCTGTGGTGTTGGAAAGTGTGGATTTCCTCAAGTTTCCTGTCAGAGCTGCTCCCAGCCTGTCTTACTGATGGCCCTGGGAAGGGGCAGAAAGCTAGAGTTGGTGCACAAGAGAAGCGTGTTTGAGAACGAGCATGAGGTTGGCAACCAGCTTGTGAGATACATTAGACCCAGTGCTCTGCTACAAGGCAGGGGGTCGGTGTCCTTTAAAGATGAAATCAATTGGACCAAGGATCTTTCCAAATTCAGATCTGGCTAAGTGTTCACCATTCAGTCATAACATGAGGCAAACTATCAGGCAGCCAAGTTGAAATGTGAGGCAGTGCTAGGTCTCCAGCCCAAAGCCACCTGACTGGGAGTCAAGTGCTATATATTTTCATTTTACGACGGGAGTTGCTGAGACTGGCATTCTACTTTTGAAAATAAAATTTATATCATGGCCTTGATGAAATTTTTATGAGGTACTATTAACCCTCAGACTGCCAGCAGGATCAGAGACCTAAATCAGCACAGCAATAAACCAACTTGTATATTGTTTTCTCTGTAATATTAACCCTATCCTAACTGAATCATAAGTGGCTGAGTAAGTCACAGTGTAGTTACATAATGTGGCCACCATGTGGCTCTGTGAGTGAGAACAGGAACCTGCAGGTTCCATTGCCACCTCACATATAAAAGATCCACCAACTAACTGCAGCAACGTTAAGAGAAGTTATTAATATTACACAAAAATGGAAATAATTGAACACATGCCCAATGTTTGGGCTGGCACCCCTTTGACCCTCTTATTCATAATGGTCTCTTGTGTTGTAAACTTCAATGGATTGGTCCTGATCCTCCCACCCCAGTGGTACACTGTGATTGGAGTGTACACCTTCTGCAGGATGTTCCACAGCAAGCGACCGAGACAACTTCAGCAGCAGCAGCAGCACCTCCCAGACCTGCGACTTCCTCCAACCAGAAGGATCATTCAATAAATGAATGAGAGCATCATCACTTCCAAGTTCCCCTCCAAGCCTCGCACCCTTCCATCTTTGAAGTATGTTATCATGCCTTCAAAATCCTAGAACCCCCCTCTCTAAGAACACTGTGAGGGTACCTTCACTATATGTTGCAGATCAACACGGAGGCTCACCACCAGCTTCTCTGAGCATGGGCAATAAGCTCCAGCCTTTTCGTTGCCATCAATGGGATAGCATGGTGGCTCAGTGGTTAGCACTACTGCCTCACGGCACCAGCGACCCAGGTTCAATTCCACCCTCAGCTTACTGTCTGTGTGGGTTTCCACCTGCAGTCCAGTGATGTGCAGGGTTAGGTGGATTGGCCATGCTAAATTGCCAGCTGTGTGTCCAGGTTAGATAGTTTAGCTATGGGAAATACAGGGATGGGGTGTGTCTGGATGGGATACCCTTTGAAGGGTTGGTGTGGACTTGATGGACTGAATGGCCTGCTTCCAAACTGTAGTGATTCTATGAAATTCATCAATATTCCCAAGAATGATATATTGAAACTTATAGAACTTTGATTTTGAAAATGATTTGGTTTGCTTAGTTAATAGAAAACCTTAATTCATCGAATAAACCCAGTGGCATAATTGACCAGCCAATTAATATCACCAATATTAGGCTCTCCAAATCTCAGCAATTCCTGAAAGCACTGACTTTCTCTGGTATCAGTGACCCTCAGTTTACACAGTCAAGTGCCGTTTGGGAACTCAGGCAATGACTGTTGAAGATTTTCCTCCTTCAAGGAGTGTCCGAGTCAAGCCTGGGGATTCTTCCCCAGTTTTCCAAAGTAAGCCACTGGACAGTGACCTGGAATAAAACCAAGGCTTGATTATTATCTCTTCAATTCAATTACAGCACCAACATCTCATCACCACCCCTCAGTTCAGTTCAGGTGACATAGCACTAACTGATATTTTAAAGGCCCACTTCATATTTGTTTCTAGATTTTACAGCTCAAGGAGATTGTTTTTTGTAAACATTGGTCATTGAAAATAGACTTTTCTTTAATATGTTCAGTGACTATACAGACAATTCCTTCAGACAATCTGGGTGCTGTCTCTTGCTTTTGAAATGGTTGTGGAGTGGCAGATGTAAGCAGTGATTGCACTACAGTTCGAAAAAATTAAGACTCAAAGCCATGTATTACGTTACCTTCAAACTTACACTTGGAGTGAAGCAGTCCATCTCCAAAGTACCAGACCAGCTAGACTGGAACAAAGGGATCTTGCCCCTCTGCCTCCTCTTAGTGGTCTTCCTTATTGGACAATGTTAGAGCAAGATGCCTCTCTTTTTTACTTATTGATGGGATGAGGACATCACTGTGTAGGCCAGCATTTATTGCCAAGCCCTAATTACCCAGAGGGTAGTTAAGAAGCAAACGCATCACCATGGGACCAGAGTCACATGAAGTCCAGACCGGATGAGAATGGTAGATTTCCTTACCTAAAGGACATTAGCAAATCAGAGAAGATGTTTTGTTTATGCCAATCAACAGTGACTACATGATTAGGGTTTTTAATTCCAAACTATCATTCAATTCAAATTTTGGCCATCTACCATGCTGGGATTTGAACCTATATCACCAGAATGTTATTTGGGATTCCTGGATTATACTCCAGTCACTTGACCATTAGGTCAACACCTCCCTGCATCAGGGTACAAAGTGCTTGAAATTCCTTCACTGGTTTCTTTGCCAGTGCTTAGTGAGTCACGATATAAATTGTGATGTCATCATAAAATGAACATCACTGAATAATTAAAGCTTTGCCAAACACCTCTGCATGAACACAGGAACAGAAAGACCTGTGCACACAGCCTTTTAGATATGGCTGAGATTGTGACAAGGTGACTGATACCAGGAAGCATTTGCAACCACTAAAAAGGAGAGGGGTGGAGGAGTTCCATGTGCCTCTCAATAGGGATATTTTAGGGTTAGACCCATCACTTAAAGCAATTATTTTTATTATGTGCATCCAGAAAGAATATTTTTCACTTTGGAGATAATTACTGAGGTCTGCTATAAGTGTGTTTTCGGCATTTATCTGAAATAGAAATGTCCCTTTTCCCCTCCCTGTCACAGAATTATAGAATTTTTCAGTGCAAAAGTAGGCCATTTGACTCATCATGTCTATTCCAGCTCTCAAAAGAGCTACCCAGTTAGTTCCATTCTCCAGCTCAATCTTCTTATTCATCACTAAAAGTATATATATACAGCTCTCTTGTGAAACCTTGCATGGAATCCACCTCCACCACTCTCCCAGTTAGTGCATTCCAAATGCATTTCTCCTCATCTCACTACTGGTTCATGAGCTGACCATTTTAAAATTGTAACCCCCGGCTACTGACACACCAACTAGTGGAAACAGAATATCCTCTTTACCCTGTGAAAAGTGTTCATGATTTTGAACACCCTCAATAAGATCACCTCAATCTTCTCTGCTTCTAGGAGAATAAGCCCAATCTCTCTGATCTTTCCTTGTATCTAAAATTGCTCATTCCCAGCATCATTCCAGTAAATTTCCTTTGCACTCTCTTAACAGCTTTAGCATTCTTTCAAAAATAAGATGCCTAGAACTGAACACAATACTCCAAATGTGGTCTGACCAATGATTTGTAGGGGTGAAGCACCACTTCCTTGATTTTATACACTGTGCCTCTATTTATAAACCCAAGGATCCTTGTCGTCTCTGTCTTAATTCGATCATAAAGTATGGCACTACCTGGAAATTTATAGCAAAAGTGAACAGATTCAATGGTTTTCACATTTCCTGGCTTACTATTTGAATACTGCAATGTGATTGGTCACTCACCTTGCTCGCTGACATCTCCATAGCTACATACCATGTGACAAGGTGGCAGATTTAAATTGGACCACGAGAGAGGAAAATCCCATCACAGTCATCACCAGGCTTTTGTGGATAGCTTTCTTCAAGGTCACCAGCAAGTGCTTTCCCTTTACCGCTGATGGCAAAATCTGGGCCAGTATGTTTTGAGCAACAAACACGAGGTGTGGCATACTGTAGTTAAAGGTTACTTCTTCAGGTGATACTCTCCTTTGTTCATTATGTTTAGCAAAGCAGTGCTCAGTTTGTGCACTGTACTCGGTGCTAACACCGAGTGCAGGAGCTTCAGTCTCCAGGTGTGTTATTATGGGGAACAAGTGCCTACGTGATGTGCTTTGGGCTTCTGCCAGTAAATTATCACCCAGTATGTTTCACTAATAGCATTTGGAAAATTGATTTTTGTTTTGTCTTCAAACAAACAATGCAGTTTAAAAGGCGGCTGCTGCTGCTGCCACACATGGAGTAGGGTGTGGGGTGGATTTCAAATCTTTGGACGCTCCCGTCCAGTAGCTCAGACCTATTGGCTGTACAGTCAGGAGAGGAGTACGTTGTGGAGGGAAGGAGGAATTTGTTTATGGTGCACCGTAAAATGGCTTAATAACAAATTTGTGAACCATTTACACTTGACGTGGCTTCCGTTAACATTGAGGTTAATAGTGAAAACAGGCTGCCAATTTGCTTTTGGCCCACCTTATGTTACTGGTGTTGACAAGACTCAGCTCTGTTATAATAAGAACATAAGAACTAGGAGCAGGAGTAGGCCATCTGGCCCCTTGAGCCTGCCCCGCCGTTTAATAAGATCATGGCTGATCTTTTTGAGACTCAGCTCCACTTACCTGCCCACTCACCATAACCCTTAATTCCTTTACTGTTCAAAAGTTTATCTAGCCTTGCCTTAAAAATATTCAGTGAGGTAGCTTCAACCGCTTCATTGGGCAGGGAATTCCACAGATTCACAACCCTTTGGGTGAAGAAGTTCCTCCTGACCTCAGTCCTACATCTGCTTCCCTTTATTTTGAGGCGATGCCCTCTAGTCCTAGTTTCACCTGCTAGTGGAAACAACCTCCCTGCCTCCATATTATCTATTCCCTCCATAATCTTATATGTTTCTATAAGATCTCCCCTCATTCTTCTGAATTCCAATGAGTACAATCCCAGTCTACTCAGTCTCTCCTCATAATCCAACCCTCTCAACTCTGGAATCAACCGAGTGAATCTCCTCTGTACCCCCTCCAGTGCTGGTATATCTCTTTTCAAGTAAGGAGACCAAGACTGCACACACTACTCCAGGTGTGGCCTCACCAGAACCCTATACAGCTGCAGCACAGCCTTCCTGTTTTTAAACTCCATCCCTCTAGCAATGACAGACAAAATTCCATTTGCCTTTTTAATCAAATGCTGCACCTGCAATCCCACCTTCAGCGATTCATGCACAAGGACACCCAAGTCCCTCTGCACAGCAGCGTGCTGCAATTTTTTACCATTTAAAACATAGTCCTAGTTATTCACTAGTTGAACTTGCTTCTCTTGTTTTCGTCTGGCAGTGTTCTTTTTGTTAAGGTCTTTTGCAAAGAAAGTTTGTTAATTCGTCTCCCCAGATGTGATTTGTGGCACCATAACCTTCTGGAGTCACTGATGCTCATTTAAACTGAAAGTAGAGCCTCCACTACCTTTTAAAACTGAAATTAAAGCTCCCTCAACACTGCCTCCACCAAAACCTCGCAGGACAGTTACAACGCAGGGCGAGGGCAGAGCAAAGCTCCTTCTTCTCTGTTAAATTGAAACCAAACTGAAAGTAAATCTCCCTCTACTCTTTTAATTGAAAGTAAAGCTCCCTTGACATTATCCCCATCAAATACTCCCAGAATAGATAAGCACAGGGTTAGCTACAGAGTAAAGATCCTTCCGCTCTTGTATACTGTTTGTATACTTGCTTCTGTGTGCGGTGCTGATGACTATATGCAGGGCTATAAAGCCAAAAGCTGGAAAATGGGATTAATGTAGTCAGATATTTGTGGGCTGGTGCAGACTTGATGGGCTGAATGGCCTGTTTCTGTACTGTAAGCATCTATGAGACATGGCCTGCACAAATCTTTCTCAATTAACAATACCACTTTATTTGATATAAAAATATTTTACATTGCAAGTTGCTTTAAATTAAACATTACAATACGCGAATTAATATAGAAGCACAATATCTTGTTCCACTCATTATCTGAATCTTGTCTCTAATGTCCTACATGATGGAACAAGCACAGATTGTGAAAACATCATCAGCTTGAGGATTCAAGGTTAGTGAAGGAGGCACTCATCTAACTCTGCTGTTTTGTTTTGGTTTCGTTCCAGTGTACACACACAAGCCAGATCCTCCCCAGTATTCCCACACTACACGTTTTCCATCAGCCATGGTCGTCGCGGACACGGGCAGCATCAGTGCACTAGCGAGCATGTCCTCCAGCAAGCAGGTAACTGAATGCAGCAACCACAGGAGCTGCTCAAAGGAATAGTAATGGCTGTGAGCCTGTGGCATTTAGAAACCATGTTCCAAAGTGATTGTTAATCTGTTGCAGATACACATTAGCTGAGACTGAAGTTCTAGGTGCCAATGGTGCGCATAACTGATCCACATTTTTATTAGCACTAGGCAGTTGCCTTGAATCAATTTGTTCCTTTAAATCAGGAAGTGAATAATTGAGTGAGTTGGATGAACTCATTGCCTTTTCCTACTCTTCAAATTCTCACCCATTTTCAAATCCTTGCATGGTCTTGTTGCTCCTTTTATCCGTTATCTCCGGAAGCCTCGAAACTCTATGTAATCCCTGTGTTCCTCAAATTCTAGCTCCATGAGCATCCCTGTTTTTCAGCAGCTCCAAAACTGAGTCTGCAGTTACCAAGGCCCCAAGCCCTGAAATTCCCATCCTAAATCACTCTCTCTGTTTCTTCCTCAAGGACTTTTCTCAAAATCTAACTTTCTGAGCAAATATTCCACCATTTCTCCTCTACTTGTATAGCTTGGTGCTAGATATTGATTGACAACACTGCTAAACTGTTTTTGTAGATTAAAAGCACCATCTAAATACAAGCTAGAGATAACACAGTGTGGAGCTAGAGGAATACAGCAGGCCAGTCAGCATCAGAGGAGCAGGAAAGTTGACGTTTCAGGTTGGGACCCTTCTTCAGACTTTTCAGACGAAGGGTCCCGACCCGAAACGTCAACTTTCCTGCTCCTCTGATGCTGCCTAGCCTGCTGTGTTCCTCCAGCTCCATACTGTGTTATCTCTGTCTCCAGCGTCTGCAGTTCTTACTATCTCTATCTAAATACAAGCTGTTGTTGAATGTATTAACAGGGAGAAAAGGCCTTCAGTTCATCCAACACACCATCACCTTGTTACTAAATTCAATGAATAATGAAATTTTCAAAGAGTTGGCCATTGCTGTCCAGTATTTTCTATCACATGGATACCATTTACCAGCTGAGTTCATTAGTTGCACAGTAGGAAATGGGGGTGGGGTTTAGCTTGGTTGTTTAGACGATGATTATGTAGTTGAGAATAGGGTCAGCTGCCAGATTTTGATTCTGTTCAGATTGAGCGAGACTTAGGTCTGTAATACATTAACAGAATAAGCCATAGTTTGGCCACCCTTGGGCAATTGAGAGTGTTATCCTGAGAAAGGCAGGGGTAAGAAACTGATGTCTTCACAATTATACAGTCCACTATTTAGGATGAGCTCTACAGTTTGTGGGTGACAGCATGACATAGGTAATGGATGAGAGAGGCAATTTGTAGATTTTGTCTCTCTCAGTCCCAGGCCTTCAGTTATTAGGAAGTATTGGAGGCAGCTTCCAAGTATGCCCTACCATGGTGTATGGGACAGAGACTCTATGAGGAGCTAAAGGAAACAAGTAGCTATCAAATAGTTTCCTGTTCCTTTATTTCAATCTATTTTTGTTCCATTTCCCTAATGCCCCTTCCTCTCTTGAATGTGTTGTATCAAGTTGGGACCTGATTTCACAGTGAATTTGCCCACATGCACCTTATGTGCTTGTGAGCCTGATCATCACACTCAGGTCAGGAATGCTGAGGAAATTACTGGCTATCAAACCTGATTTGGTCCCTTGACAGTCAGAGCAAGTCTGCCCCTGTAAACATTCAGGGACAGCTACATGGGCTATCAGGCATGGAGTCTGTGGAGGATTTATTGGAAAGGCCCACCTTGAGGATCACTTTGTCTCTGGTAAAATGTTTTTTAAACAGAAAGGTCCTCTAGCTCTTAGCCCCACATCTGCCTCATCCCCATACACCCCCTATGTCCCATCCATGCTACCTCAGATCCCCACCAACTTCCTCATGGCTCCTCATGCCCTCCATGCCAACCTGTGCTGCTCTTCCCAGCCCCACGGCCTTTTGCATACGTATGCCAACTCATTTCAACCCTTATCCCCTCACCTACCTTTCCTTGCCCATACGCCTTCTACAAAATCTCACTCTGTATCCACCATGGACAATCCGCAGGACTCATACTAATATGAAATAAAATTGTGAGGTTTGGGTGAGATGTGGACCCCTTGATAGGCAGTCAGCATTGCCTAGAGAAGCAGGTGAGAAAAGGATCCAATGACAGGCAAAGACTGAGCTAGATTCACAGGAGGTTGATTGGACTTGTTTCTAGCTACACTAGGAGCTAGCTGTTTGTTGAGTCTCTGGTAAGTGGTTAACATATTTTCTGCTTTTAAGTTTAACATACTATAAATAGAGGTGGTAAATTTAAAATAGTATAGTACAAGGCAGCATAAATAAGTGAATGATACAATTAATCAGTTAAAATGCACTGTGAATGCCAGGACAGGTGATGTGTCAAGGCTGTAGTAGGTAGGAGTTCCTAGATATCATCATGATCCAGGGCTAGTATATCTGTAAACATGTTTGAAGTTCACATGGCTTTGGTCTGAATTTATGAGTTGGAGGCTGAACTACAGACACTGTGATACTTCAGGGAGGGAGAAAGTTGCCTCGATTCTTTGCACCAAGAAGCAGTCACACCACTGAGGAGAACATGTTCTGTTATAGTCAGTGCTCAGGGACAGGGTGGTATGACTGGGAATGAAGAAAGGGTGTCAGCCTCTGAAATTGTCCGATAGACTTGATGTTCTGTCAGCCTGTTTAGATAGGTGCAGGGGCTGCAGGGTCAATGAACAAATTGACCATGACTACAGAGTTCTACAGGAAGTCATTCAAGTGAGGTGTGCAATAACAAACGTAGCTGTAGTAGGACATAGTGGAGTTAGGGAGATTGACACCAGTATTTGCAACAAAGATTGAGAATTCGGGCAGTTGTGTTGCCTGCCCAGTGGCAAGTCCAGGACATCTGCTCAGGGCTGGAAAGGAACTTGTAGTGGGAGGGAGGAAGATGTGGTCCATGTAGCTATCAGTGATATCGGTAAAACTAGGAAAGAGGTCATGTATACAGAATGTGAAGAGCTAGGCACGAAATTAAGAATGTGAACCTCAAAGGTTATGATCTCCGTGCAACTTTGCATAGAGTACACAAAATTAGAGAGACAAATACATGGCTCAAAGACTGGTGTGGGAGAAGTGGGTTCTAGCGCTTGGCCACTGGCACCAATAGGAGGGAAAATGAGGACTATGTTGGGATGGTCTACACCTGAACTGTACTGGGATCAGTGTTCTTTGAAAGGCATAATTTGGGAAGAAGAGAGGGTTTTAAACTAATTAATCTGGGAAAGGGCTCAAATGTGGAAAAATGTGGTATATCAAAGTGTACAAACAAGGTAACAGAGAAAGATAGTAATATGGGAAATAAGGGTCAGAGGAATACACTAACAACCAACATCAGACATTACAAAGATAACAAAAAGAGAAAAGTAAAGGCTCTGTATCTGAATGTGGATAGCATTCACAACAAAGTAAATGAATTGATTGTGTATAGAGAAGTAAATAAGTACGGTCTAATGGCATTACAGAGTCATTGCTGCAAAATGACAAAGATTCGATCCTAAATATTGAAAGTTATATGACATTGCAGAAGAATAGGGAGCGTGGTAAAGGTAGCACTGTTAATCAAGTACGGTATTTGTGCAATAGTGAAGAGCTGACCTTGGTTCAGGAGATCAGGATGTAGAATCAGCCTGAGTGGAAATGAGGAATAGTCAAAGAAAAATGTCACTAGTGGGAATAGTCTACAGGTTCCTAACACTAATCACAATGTGGAACAAGGTCAGTAAGAAGAAATACTGGGAACTATGATAAAGGGACATCATTAATCACAGATGACTTTAATTTACATAAAAATTGAAAAAGATAGATTGACAGCAGTTGCCTGGATGAGGATGGTTTCTTAGAGCACCACATTGTGGAATCAAGGAGAACAGGTTACATTAGACTCGAATGATGTATTATGTAATAGAATTACTTAATGACATAGTAAAGGCAGTCTAGATAACAGCAACCACAAAATAATTTAACTTTGCATCCAGTTTGAAAGAGAGAAAATTGTGTCTAAAACTAATATTGCAAACCTTAAGAAGAGTAACTATAATGGTTGGTAAGTTGAGCAAGCCAAAGTGAATGCCATATTAGGTTAAGGGATAGATCAATAGATACGTAGCAACAGACATTTCAAAGGATATTTCAGAATAAGTGGGTTCTGGTGTTTAGCCACTGGCACCAGTACGGGGGAAAATGAGGGATGTGTTGTACTGGGATCAGTGTTCTTGTGAATCACATAACTCGGGAAGTAGAGAGGGTTTTAAACTAAATCGTGGGAGAAAGGGATCAAATGTGCAAAAATGTGGTATATCAAATGCAGAAGGATAGTAATATGGGAAATGAGGATCAGAAAAGGAGTGACAAGAGAAAGAGTCATGAAGAAAAATACCCAAAGAGAGGAACCACCATTTGTGGTTAACGAAAGAAGTTAGGGAAAGTGTCAAACTTAAGGAATATGCACATAACTGCATTAAGCTGAGCTGTAGGTCAAATGTTTATTCAGAATACAAAGAATGGCAGAGAATGACTAGAAGGTTAATCAGAAGGAAGAAATTATGGTATGAGAGGAAGTCAGCTAGAGAAAATCAATAGCAAGAGTTTCTACTAGTACTTTGTAAATTTAGAGTATTTAAATTGAGTGTTGGTCCTACAGGCAGTGAGAATGGGTAGTTAATACCGAATAATAAGGAAATGATAGATGAATAAATATTTGCTTCTGTCTTCACTATAGAGGATACAAAAAAATTTCAATAATCGCTGTAAATCAGGCGGTGGGAGGAAGAGAGGAACTTAGTGAAATTACTATCACAAGGGAAGTGGTACTAAGCAAACTGATTCAGTAAAAACTAAAGAACTGCAGATGCTGTAAATTAGGAACAAAAACAGAAGTTGCTGGAAAAGCTCAGCAGGTCTGGCAGCATCTGTGAAGAAAAGTCAGAGTTAACGTGATGGGTCCG